TTGGGCTGTAGTGCCAATGAAAAAAAAAAGTGAATGCCCACATTCCTCAAATTGCCTTGGTTTTTCACATTTTTTTACTAATTTATACCCACAACATGTTTCGGCCTCATTGTGCCATCATCAGGTGAATTCTATCCTCGAGTGAGATCACTGCACTCTTTTGTTTCCCGTAACGACGTGCATGAGAGAAGCACGGGAAACAAATACAGTGCAGTGATCTCACTCGAGGATAGAATGCACCTGATGAAGGCCCAGTGAGGCCGAAACATGTTGTGGGTATAAATCAGTAAAAAAAAATTTAAAAAATCAAGACAATTTGAGGAGTGTGAACATTCACTTTTAATGTGTAAATTTATGTACTACGTAAAGGTCTACTTGCATTTTATTGATTTGAACTGTCATTATATTAAAATGCATTTTTAGTGAACAACATGTTCCTAATGTGTTTTTAAAGTTGTATTATTGACGGATACGTTAGTGAAAAATGTAATTATCCTTTCCATATTTGCTATCATATCTGGGGTTTACTGGAAGTCCCTTAATTCTTGGCTAGTTTCAATTTAATTAGCTTGTTGGGAATCATGGACTCATTTTACAATTGATCCTGAAACAGATCATTAACGTTTCGCAGCTTAAATTTCAAATGAATAATATTTAAGAATTCAATTCTAACCTCATAGAAAATATAATGTATCTGTTTTATAAAGACCCGACATCTCTCTTCCTCTTCAAGGAAATAATTGTTGTTTATTCTGGGACCCAGCACACGGCTCCTGTCATCTGAGAACCGCATGAAGTGTATAAGTAATTCAATGCGCAAGATGTATAATATGTAATTTCAACGCAGGTGGCATACACATCAGTCACCGTGCTTTAAGGGTTAATCATAAAATTGTAGCCTGAAGAGTAGAAAAAAAAAAGTGGATATGCAGACAAATTCTGTAAAATTGTTTTAAGTTAATAATAAACGCGCAGTAAGAGGCCTTTTGATGTCGTCAGAGGGGAGGAGAAGTAGTCACTATGGTCTGGAAGATAATGTGTTTCGAGGTATTATTATTATTATTATTATTATTATTATTATTATTATTATTTAGAGAGGGTGGNGTAAAGTTACGACACGGGACACACAGCTTAAAGTCCCTCCCGGAGGACTTGTTCCCTGAATTTTTCCGCCCTTAAAAATTCGACGACCCCCGCCGGGTATTTGAACCCGCGTACCACGAGTCATGAGGTGGGAACGTTACCTCTAGACTACGGAGGCCGCTTATTTCGAGGTAAGAAAGATGATACTGGGACGACGAAGTGTGAATTTGGAACCCAGACACACACACACACAAATTCTTCTATTGTTTCATTTATTCTTTGCCGCGGGAACATATTTAGCGGGTCGTTGCCTAGCAATTAAAGGTGGGATAGACTTTATCGATAGTAACGATAAGAGAGGTACACATACAAAAACTCAGACTGAAGGGCGGATTTATGAAGTACGCCGTTGAAGTGGGTTCAGGTGCCCTTGATATACATACCATATTTCATAAAGGTTGGTTCGGGCATTCAGAAGTTAATACGGGTGAGTACGCATACTCACAGACAGCATGGGGATGGCATAAGCCCTTTTATCTACTTTTTTTTTCAAAATAAGGAAAGTAGGCTAAAAGTAAAAGGTGGCTTATGGAATCACCTTGCTCTCTTTGTGTTTCCACCCACAATTTTTGTTAGGAGGCTCATGAAATCGTCTTGTTGTTTATGTTTCCCCCACAATCGTTACTAGGTAACGGGCCTTCTGAGTTTCTGTGTCCCCTCCCCCAAATTCCTTGGTTCTCTGTTCAGTCAATGTCATATCAAAGAAATTAGGTTATTAGTTCTTCCCAGAATTTCTTGTTTTTATTTTCATATAAGTTATGTCAAACACCACCAAAATGAATTCAGTTAAGATTCTTTTAGGATGCTCCTTCAGAATTACCTGAGAAGCTAAAAACACAAAAACTTTACACTCCATCCAGCTAATAAGCATTCTCTTGGTTGAAAAAGTCCATGCCTTTTATTTAACTCAAAGGTTCGTTTATGCAATATCAAAACCCCAATTTGGAACTAGATCATAAACGCCACACACCTTATTTCTTGAAGCCTCTATTGTAATATTATTGCATTGTAAGAAACCGCACGTTTATTGACACTTGTCGTCTTTGTTGTGCAGAACAAGATGAGCACCATGCAAGCCTACCGGTTCGAGAAATACTCCCAAAGTATCCGAGAAATCAACGGATCTGAGAGCTATGAACTGCGGTCAGCAAACAAGCTCTTTCTAGCCAAACGGCTGAAGCTGAGGGACTGCATAGCCCATTTATTTGAGGATGATATTCAGCCCCTGGACTTCGTTGCTGATCCTGAGGCTGCAAGACAAAACATCAACAACTGGGTGGAGATACAGACCAAGCGGCAAATTCGAGATCTCATTCCTCAAGACAAAATCACACCTGACACGGAACTAGTGCTGGTAAGATGGGAACACACAAATTTCTAGATTACGGTCTTCTGGGATATGATGCCGTCTAATTTGGTAGATACCAAATTTTAGGAAGAAAGTACTGCCTCTTTGTTCAGAGCTGATGAAGAAGATGAAGGCAGTATGTTTCTTCAAGGTCTTAACACATATCGACCACACTACATGGTGTCATATCCAGTGAACTTTAAGCGAATATTCTCTGTCATGAAAATCTCAAATCTCACATAAATTTCGAGTTTCTATTTAGAACCGGATTGGAGTGAAAATAAAATAAAATGTTGTAATAAGAAGAATATTCAAACAATAAATGCAGCCAGTCTAGTGATCCACTAGTAGTAAATTGCTAACCCTGTAAATACGTGTACTTTAAACAATTCATGCATGTACGTGTAACATACATCTGCAGTTCACTTTCTCATGTACGTAGTGTGTGATCCTGAAAGCAAGAGATTTTGAGATTTGGATGGATTTAACTTTTTCAAACCCCCTCTCCCACAAAATTATAAAGAATAATTTTTTGTATGTTGCCTGTATGTTTACATATCTGTCTGTATATATCTGTGTGCGCGCGCGTGCTTTGTTAGATCCTGAACTGAGGGTTGGATTCTTTTTCATATTCTGTTTTGATTAAATTTAAGTGTCTTAGAGAAACCGTCATGGGCACGTGGTGGCGTAGTTGGTTGAGGCACTATGCTACAAGCCGGAAGGTCGCGGTATCGAATCCCGATGAGGTCATTGGATTTTTTCAATAACCTAATCCTTCCAGCCGCACTATCGATTCGGCCTCTAACAGAAATGAGTACCAGAAATATTCTTGGAATGGTCTTGGGGGTAAAGGGCGGCCGGCGCATAAGGCTGACAACCTTACTGCAAATTGTGAGCCGATTGTCTGGAAAATGTGGGAACCTCAACATCTCACAACCCTATGGGCCTCCACAGCCTGTTACAGGGATACTTTTACATTTTTTTAATTCGCTTAGTGGGAGGTGGAGTCCAGCTGGGTCCACTCGGCACGGCGGCCACTAATTTGCCTATTGTAGCCTGCCCTGGGTGATTATGATGATGNCCCCCCCCCCAGAGAAACCGTCTTTATAAACAAAGGTGTCTAGGTGGTATCTTCAGAAAAATAACGTAATTTACATTATAGATCCAAACGTGAATGTCGGTTTTATCAAAACCAGCTTGACCAGACTGATTTCACTGTTTTTTGGTACTGAGCAACGAGCACTGGTCTGTAGAGCAACACTTGATTTTATTTCGAAGGTATCGTAGTGTCTGTACATAAGTTTCTCTTTCTGTACATGGACTGTGTAAAATTTACTAAATACAAATGACACCGTTTTACAAAATTTATTCTTTCACCTGGTGAAATGCAAATTTGAGTACCCATTTTTGGAGTTGTGCGCTGTAATATTTTTCTATGAAGGATACACATTCCATTACATGGTTATTTTCTATTCCTGGACTTATTTAACAACACTCTGTCAACTGCATGTAATTATGTAGTGTTAAACTCCACACAGCGTGTTATATAATATGATGATTATGAATGTGCATTTGAGAAAGATCTGTAGGGAAGCAGTCATTCCCTGTTTTAATGCCATAACCACCAGTGTGACAGGGAGTGGAAGAAAGCATGAAACCACAAAGAGATGTAAATAAGTATAGCTAGCCTTCTGGCCAGCAGTGAAACGGAAATCATGTGAATAAAATGGAGGAATTATATACAAAATAAACATAGGAACAGGAATTATCGGGTCTAAATCTTTTTTTTTTGGTTTTATTGATTATGGTTATTACATTAACTGTAAAAACTGAAAAGAATTGTAAAACATAGTTCATGCTTAATAGAAGTAATCATGAGATTGTAAGAGCACTGCCTGTCTCTGATGAACATGTCTTATGCTCTTTTGTTACTTTACAGCATCATAATCTGCACTGTAACATGCTTACATTGTGTTCTGAATGTTGGCCAGTTTTTTGAAGCTGTTATTTGGTTTGTCGTCTTTATGGCCATTGAAGCATGGTTAGTTTAGTGTCCATTTTGATACATCCTTGGTTTGAAGGGAATACACTTTTGTTGAAAATCTATTTATTATGAATATTATTATTTTATTTTAAGTTGTTTTGAGTAGCAATATTACTTTCTGGAATGATTTTAAAATCTGAAGTTAGTCCATGGATCTCCTAATAAATGGAAGTTCCATGTAGGAACTATATACTTTCCCTTCAAAGTCTTCAGTATATAGCTATATGATGATGCTATCATGCACTATAAATCAGCAGTTGTATTTTCATAGTCTTTTGCCTCCTTTAAGACAGATGCCCATTCTCCTGTGTTATTGTTCTTTGTTCTCATCTGTCTCTAATTAATCTCTGCATCTGTCAGTCATCTTGGTCTTGCATTTATCCTTCTTTTCTGAATAGACTGAGCAAATTCCAGATCAGTAATTTTACTGTTTAATAATCCATTCATGTGTATAACTTCCAACATTACAGGGCAGTTTACACAAAACACCTTCAAAATTTTGCTCCACCATACTTAATTTTTAAGCATGTTTTGTACATGACTGAGCCAGGATAGCACAGTCACTATAGTGACTGGCTGTGGGCTGGACAACTGAGGGGTCGGATTTTGAGTTCTGGTAGGGTCAAGAATTTTTGCTTCTCCATGTTGTCCAGGCTGGCTCTGAGGTCCACCCAGCTTCCTATCCATTGGGTATGGGGGGCTCTTTCCCTAGGGATAAAGCAGCTGCATATCTGTGATCCGTCGTCACACAGAAGCTTATGTTTGTAGTTGCAGTGCTTAAATAATTGTTGTCATTAATTTTAAAAAGAGCTTTACCTGTTTAGAGAAGTATTTTAATATATTTAAGTATTGTAATCATATGTAAAAACTTGTACGTGACAAAACTAGTAACAGTGGATCCATTGTGACACACAATTCAGTAACTAACATCGATGCATTTTACTGTTTATAAACGCCTGATGATGGTCATAAATGACCGAAACATGTAGTAGAAAATAAAATCTTAATAAACTAGCTGATTTTATCAACATTCGAGCCTGTCATTTATTGGAAGTGTAGAATTGGTGTGATTGATGGACATATTTGTGTAATATTAAACCAGAGGCCTAATACAAATTTCACATGGCTCCTTAACAAAAGTTCGTGTAAGAAATTATAGTGACAAAACTCCTAAGTGCAACCAATGTATTGCAGGCAAATGCAGCATACTTCAAAGGACTTTGGCAATCCCAGTTCCTGCCAGAACACACACACAAAGAAGTGTTCTATGTATCACACTCCAAACTGGCTCTTGTTGACATGATGAAGCAGAAAGGGACATTCAATCACAGTAAGCAATTTCAGTATAATTGTGCATGTTGTAGAAGGGTGTTCTATGCTTAGTTTGTTAAAAATACATGGGTAAAATGCATAAAGGAATAGGTGACAGAATATACAGAAATTAAACCTGTAGTGTCAATGTAAATAATCAAAAGTCATGTTTTAAAGCATAAAGGTGATTCTTCAATAAAAGGTATTATGTTGTCTGTAAGAGTAAAGATTGCCAGCTTATCTTACATTATAAGTCAAACTTCTGTCACATTTTGGAAACTTATGGATTTATTCCCTGGTCTTTACATGCATCTCCATTTACCAATATTCAACCTGGAGTGACATTCTGCTTCAGTGAATTACAGAGTAGACACAACTGGTCATTCCTGAATATTGATTTTTAAATTATGACACAATTAGTTTGTTTATCATTTAATACTGTAAACATGTTTTAATGTCTTGAAAACTTGCCACCGTTTGAGAACCCAACCAATAAATCTCTTAATAGAAATATCTTTCCTTATGACAAATATCAACAAATTTCTTTCCTAAATTTTAATTCTGAATTGACCTGATGAAAGTCAGTTCAGGGTGCTTTCTGCTCAGGCAATTAGTATAACCTAAGCTGAGACATGTTGTGATTATAAAAATGAATAATTAATATAGTAAATAAGAAAAAATTGTAAACACATACCATTTAGACACAAAATTTATTTGGAACTATGTCTTGTGTTCTGAATTGATGTAACATGTAACAAGATGAAAGAACAATTTAAATATGGGTGGTTCTCCATTGAAATTATTGAAGACTATGCTAGTAAACAAAACATGTTCCATTTTACTTGTTTCAACTCCAGCAATTTTCATCATTATCTTTTCTTACGTTCTGTTCCATAAAACTGAATTAAGAGTAGTAAATGGATAACCACATGTATATTGTAAATGTCAAAACAAATTGTAGCTTGCAATAAACATATAAAATGATTTGATGAATTGAAGAAACCACAAAGAGTTCCACACAATTTATCCAAACTATTCTAACAATACAAAGTATAAATTAATAACCTCCAGCACCAACAAGGTTTTTGAAGCTTCTCTTTCAACAGATTCTATTGTATTTCAAAGTACATATGTACCCCTGAGATTGACATTGTACATACTGAAACATGTCGGAACAATGATGAATTCAAACCTATTTCAATAACTAGAGTTTTAATTCACTGTACTGTTATAATAAACAGTTTAAAGGTAGGCAGTTAAATATAAAAATTTTCAGATGAGTAGAATGTTCTGTGACAAATCGTGCATTTTAACTGATTAATATACTAACATAAGTGTGCCATTTGCGGATGAATCTGAAATCTGTAATGATTCTGTTGACAGTTGTATCAGAGCGTCTGGGTGCCCATGTACTGGAGCTGCCATACAAAGGGAATACAGTCAGCATGTTTATCATTCTGCCTCCTAATGCTAAGTCAAATGGAATTGAATCTGTCATCAAGCAGCTCTCTGTAGAGAGTCTTCAGGAAATTGTGGAGGATGATCTGCCCAGAGCAGTTGAAGTTTCCATCCCAAAGTTCACTGTTGAAGAGACCATTGAACTTACACCGGTAAGTTTATGTGATCAGCATGATACAAGTAATACTAAACTGATACTTGCTTTTCCTGCAGCATTTCATGGTCTCAGAATGCAGCATGTTATTTCAGTGCACAATATTAGAATAACATGGATTTGGAGACCAGCTATCAAATCTCACATTATTTATTGTTGTCCTTAGTATTTTCAGGATGCTTGAGTAGTAGCTTAACGTAATCCAAGACCTCTTTGTCACATATATCAATGACTTAAGATGGGATTCAGGTTGGTAATTGGGTTTATTATCCACTTACAGGTCGTAACTACAGTTAATTCTTACACTATCAAGATTACTGTACCTATAGCACATAAAGTCTTCAATGTCTGTTAACACTTCACAGCTGAATCCTCACAACACCTTTCCATGGCAGCTTCGTGCCCTTAACTCACAGCTTTTCCTCTATGACTTGTGCAAATGACCTTCAGTGTCCCCTATAAACCTTCTGCATGGACCATGCAGAAAACACAGGCTTTATTGTTGAAACATGTTAACTGAACCATTGCATAGCAATTGTCGCAGCACGGGCCCCATGGAGAAGAATCTGTCCATTGTTAAGGATTCTTCACAAACTGTTGCTTAGCAGTTGGTACACACCTGACTATATATATGGAGGTGTGGGGTCCATAAGCACAAATGTGTTAAAATGAGGAGATATACAGGGTGTCCCAGGAGGAATGTGCCAAACTTCGGGAGGGTGTTCCTTATGTTAAACTATGCCGATATAACCCAAAACACCTATGTCCAAAGTTGAACGGTTACGGAGATAATGGCCCGAGAAAAGTGTGGTCTTCTTGCAGGTCCACGCACTATACGTACCTGTCAGCTGAGACCCTTATCTGTTTGTCCTTGAGTGCCGCGAGTCACACTAGCGTAAGCTCATGCGCTGCCTACAGATTACGTTGCGGAGGGGTCGTGAATGGGTGGTAAATTAGTTGTGTGATGAGTTGCTGAAATGCCTTTTGTGTTTTCACACGTCGAGTATTGTGATATGCATTTTGTGTATGGATTTTGCGGTGGCAATGCACGTGCTGCTGTTGAAGAGTACCAAAGGCGTTTTCCCGATCGAAGGATTCCATCTCGAAGTGTATTTACGCGAATTCACCAGACATTGCGTGAGACTGGTTCTCTTCCGAGTGTTTCTGTGCAGTCGGAAAGGGAGGATGTACAAATGAGAAACACACGAGAGAACATTCTTCGCATGATTGATAGAAGTCCGCGTCTCTCCACTCGTAGAATGGCCTCTCGCATCGGCGTATCACGTATGCAGGTGTGGCGAACTTTACATGACGAAGACCTGTATCCTTACCATGATCAAAGGGTACAACATCTGGAACCAGGCGACCATGCTCAGCGTATGGATTTCTGCCACTGGATAAAAGCTCATCCCGAACTGTTAAGCGTCATTTTATTCAGTGATGAGGCGTCGTTTACCCGGGACGGTGTAAATAATTTACGAAATATTCATACGTGGTCCCATAATAATCCACATGAGATAATGGAAACGAAATTCCAAAAGAGATTTTCTGTGAATGTATGGTGTGGTGTGCTTGGGAACAGGTTGATCGGACCTTTTGTGTTTCACAACAATTTAACTGGAAACACGTATGGAGCCTTCCTAAGGAATGAGTTACCATGTTTGTTGGAAGACATCCCGTTAACGATAAGGAGGAAAATGTACTTCCAACATGATGGGGCTCCTCCACATTATACTCAGCACGTGAGACACTACTTAGATGAATCCTTCCCTAACCGCTGGATAGGTCGTGGTGGTCCCATTGCATGGCCACCGAGGTCGCCAGATCTTACGCCTCTAGATTATTACCTCTGGGGCCACATGAAGACCTTAGTCTACGAAACTAAGGTCGATTCCCGAGAAGCACTGCGGAATCGTATTTTTGCAGCGGCAGAGCACATACGTCACCATTCAGGCAACATTGCTTCTGCTACCCAATCCCTCATGATGCGTGCCGAAAACTGCATTGCAGCTGGCGGAGGACACTTTGAACAATTACTATAAAGCAGGTACTGTATTTTAATACTTATGTAGTTGGCTTATAGCAGAATATGCAGTCAGTCATGTTACACCAGCGCTTGCCATTCATGTGTCATGTGTAGTGATGAGGCGTCTTTTACCCTGGACGGTGTAAATAATTTACGAAATGTGCATACGTGGTCCCATAATAATCCACATGAGATAATGGAAACGAAATTCCAAAAGAGATTATCCGTGAATGTAGGTATAATAAGAGTTATGTGGTCGGCTCATAGCGCAGCCATATTACGTCATCGCACGCCAGTCATGTGTTATGTATACTGCTTGGAAACCTAAGGACAATTATGACATGGCGAGCGAGTATTTTGTACTTCAATTTTATGGCTTTCCGTCACTCACAAGTTGGTTTGATGTTACGTACATTATTAACATTACAGAATCCACATATTCCTGCCAGTTTTAATATCTATTTTGTAATCAACAAGTGTGTAACCCCGGTCAAAGTTTGACACTTCTCTGGCCATTATCTCCGTAACCGTTCAACTTTGGACATAGGTGTTTTGGGTTATATCGGCATACTTTAACATAAGGAACACCCTCCCGAAGTTTGGCACATTCCTCCTGGGACACCCTGTATAAAGTCTTCAATTCAGTTCAATTCAATTCAGTTCAATTCAATTCATTTCAGTTCTTTATTATTTATGTACCCAGTCAGCAGCCACAAGGCCAGTTACAGACACAGTGCAAGTTAGATACAAGTAATTACATTATGGACTATCACAGTATAAGTTCAAAGACAGAATAGGGTCAAGCACAGGTGGAAAAACACACTAATGCTGAGAAGTAAACAAACAAACAAACAAACAAAACAACGTATTATTAATAATTTCATTAACACAAATCTTAAGTTGTTATTGATAATCGAGTAATGTAAAGTTTAAATATTTAGCAACAACAAAAACAACAACAACAACAACAACAACAAATATAGCATATTATTAAAATGATTGAGAAGAACGTTCCTGGCTCCAAATATATTAGTGCACCTGTAAACAACATTAGCAGCACATGCACATCTAGCAGAGGGACAATTTTTATATATGTGGAGCAGACACTGAATAATGCTGAATCTCTGATATACCAAGGAGGAACTCTGAGATGAGGAATTTCCAAAATGGAGAGGCAGAATTTGAAATCAAAATAAGCTTGAGTAAGAAAGAGAGCATTGAGGTGATGCCCGCTCATACGAAGAGTACAATTCTAACTCCTTCAGAACAAGAGAATAACTGTAATGGATTTGTAAGAAATGATTCAAACAGAGGGAAACAAACCTCTGCTGGATGCATTCCAATTTGTTGGCATCAGCTGACGTAATTGAATTCCAGGCTACAGACGTATATTCGAGCTCAGATCTAACTCATGCAGTGTACAATCTGAGCATACATTCTAAGAGATGAGAAATTGAAAGTAATGCTATGGACTATACCCAATAACTTAATACAGTGGCCATGGAAATGAAGTTTAGCATCAATAAATACTCCCAATTCTTTTAGAGGTTGGTCTTCTAAGTTACAGAAGAATGACAAAGTTTATAATCGTAGATCAGTATGTTGGTTTTCCTGGAGAAGAATATAACTTTAGTTTTACTGATGCTGAGTTTCATACAGTTAGCAGTGCACCAACCTTCTACAGAGTTAATGTCAGACTGAAGTAGATAGCAATCCTGAGGAGATTAGCTGCTTCCTAAATTTTTGATATCAGCAAAAATTAGATATGTTTGTCGCCTGATAGCAATTTGCAGTTAAAACATGCAATGAGTAATAAGAAATAAAATAAAAATGGCTTTTACTATACATTTGTGTGACAATTTATCTCATGATGTAAAGTCAAACATAAACAGGATGTAATCTTATAAAAATGGCAGCAGCATTCTTTTACTGTAGTCTGTAGAGTAAAGAGATGCCCAAAGGGTCTCTTAAGTTTCCTTGGTACTTTTTAGATTGGCATACTTAATGTCTGAGAAATGTTTACACATTCAAGAAATATTATCACTCCTTATGACTATGAAAAGTTTGTGGATTAAAACCTAAATGTGTAGCTTAACTACAGGTAGTCTTGTCAAGGCAATAATTATGGTAGCTTTGAATTTATTCTCTGTGTTTGGAGAACATAAACACAAATATACAAATTGTAGGCTATTTTAAATAAAATATAATATTCAAGCTAATTGAAAGACTTTTGTACCTAAAAATTGTTCTGTTTTCTTTAGTAATACAAGTCTTTCAATTGTATTGTCAGTCTCTAGAGAACCTTACTGCAAAAGAAACAGTTGGACATGTTCAGAATAACATTATAATATTCTATATGAAAATATAGGATTGCGAGGCTGCCAGTTCCTTGCCTGCCATTGTGTGCAAAGAGCTTTTATACTTTGTGACTTAAGTTTGTCTGTTATTTATATAGTTACACAACATGCAGGTTGTGTAAAATTGCAAGAGTGTAACTACCTGTGCAAAAATAGATATTTGAAAAACATGAAATAACAGTCAGAGCAAATTACAGTGGTGGGGGGGATGTTTAACAATATATTTGATAGCAAGAAATGTAAATTTTTGGATCAATTTCTTGAAGTTAGTGATGATTATTTTTATAAAATATCTTATGATCAGACCACTCAGACATGTTCATAAACCTTTGTGATACTGTTGAATTACCAGCACAGTGGAAGAAACCGTTGGAAGGGAGTAAGGCATGATAAGTTGTAAACAGAAAGTCTTGAATAAATTAAGACAAAATTTCATATAAACTAGATATAGCCATTATAAGAGGGCTGCATTAGATAAAGTTAATCAGAATTTGACCTTCAGTTGTATTTCACTTTCTCCATGAACAAGGTCATAATTTTAATAATGCATGACACAGGAATGTTCGTATAATGGGTTACATTCCTTATGAATTTAAAATTTATATGAGACTGAGAAACAATCTGAGAAAAGTGAAATTAATAATGGATTCTAGTCACTGTATAAATATATTTTTCTCTTACAAATAATTCTAAATCTACTTTCATGAACTTTCTACAGTAGCACAACATATGATGCAGTCTTACAAAGTTAGCACAGTTAAGTTATTCCATTTTCCAGATATTAAATGTCTGAACAAGAAGTGAAATTGTATGCACTGTCATATAATTAAATTCTTTCAGTCATTATTATCTATTTCTCCCTTTGTTTGTCCAACTTTCGGCCTAGTTGCTCAGTGATCATAACCGGTCTTTATAATGCAGAAACAGTTTATGTCCACTGTTTTTTCACTTCTGAGCAACCATTTAATTCATGAAATGATCAGTATATAACACCATAGCAGCAAATAATAGAAAACTGACTAATATATTATAAGATTATCTGCCTTCTCCTTCCTTCAAACAATTAGTGATTCTGCAGGCTGTGTGTGGCTTTTTTCTCAAGGTTATATCATACATGAGCAAGAAATAAAGTAAGCCACATTCATTAGACCAGTACATAAGGAATTACTGGTAGGACCACTGCCAACAGAGTGTAAATTAGTAGAGGTTAGATTGATTGGAATTTGAATGTATAAGGGGTGGGCCTTCTTGGCCCTTGCACCGCGACCACAGTGATCTATTGTGCCTTTGATTGGAATTTAATGAAGGTCAGGGAATCAGGTCATTGCACAACATTTTTACATGGTAGATTCATTAGGCCCCAGTAAGAACAACTGATTCCGCCATGCTACCATTATTATTCATTTTTAAAATAATGTTTGCATACTTCCACAGATTTTGGAGCGATTGGGAGTTGGCGACTTGTTTCAGTCCACATCTGACCTAACTGGCTTCACGGGAGAAGATGGTCTGCATCTAGATGAGGCGGTGCACAAAGCAAAGATCGCCGTTGATGAGCAAGGCACAGTCGCTGCAGCTGCCACTGCCATATTCTCATTTCGTTCATCAAGACCGCTTACACCTGCACGCTTTATTGCTAATCACCCTTTCGTGTACTTCCTGTTTGACAAGACATCTCAGACCATCCAGTTCATGGGTGTATATAGATCCCCAAACAATTAAACAGGAGAAGTTTTAAAGTATAGAGAGCTTGCATACCAGTAAACCAATTCCTTCTGGAATATGATGTAGAACTATGGATTTTTATCACTGAAGAAGTAATAAAGTTGTTAAAATTTCAAGTTTGAGGCTTGAATGAAACTGTGAAATAGTGAGTGTCATTAGGTAGAAGATGCTACTAATATAAAAAATTACAAAGAGGTCAGTGATTATATTGTGAGTGCGCAAAGGAGACATGTTGTTGGACACTGGAATTTTATCATATCAGGTAACTTTCTATATAAGAGCATCTGAATTCTGTTTTATAATGAAAAGAAGCCAGCATTTTGTATGTTGGAATGAGAACATGATTTGACATAGTCCTCTTGGTTTTTTGTGGAGTTATGGTTTTTCCTAAACAGGTTCAAGATTCAAGGCGAGCTTACAAATTTCTACATCTCTACATACTTAAGAATATGAAGGAAATGCAATTTAATGATAAATACTTTAAGTTTATGAAAGAGGAAATGAAATATTTAATGAACAAGTATTACAATTAAGTCAATTAAATCTTCATATCATTCCCTAGGCACTATTCTTTCCCTGTACTGTTGCCGCAGATGATATTTGTCCTTGTAAACATTTAAAGCTGTTTTGGGTTTCATGTCGAATATCTTCATAGACAAATTCTGTGCAAATAATTTACTTTTTTCTCATGAACTTTTTTTTATTTGGTTTAATCTTTGAACAGAACTAACCTAACTAACTTTGCTGACAAGCGGTGGTTGCTCGGTCGATATAGTTTGATTGCAGACTAAAGCCATGGAGTTTCTTTTCATCTTTGAACAAATTTACAGCTATTCCGTCATAAATAGATTTCTTGATTTGAATTCATTTCCCAGTAATAACAAATAAACTTCTTGTTTCTGTTTATTTTCTATCCCTACATGATGAGCCATTGTGTTGTTCTCAAAATTATATTCATAAAAATATTGTGACTGCAGTTATAACATTTATGATTTACCACATACTGCACCATATAACTTTATATTGTGAAAGTGTAGTGATTTGTTTGTCTGTTTTTACTGTTTCTTATTAATGTAAATGAAAGAGTAGCAGTGCTAAGGCCTGGTAATATATATTATCTCTCTTTTGAAGCCCTTCTGAATATTAATGCAAGAAAAGATGACAATGGAAAGTTAAAAAAATCAATAGTTATCTAAAATGTTCCTAAGCACATGTGGAAGGGTCAAATTTGTATGTTTCCATGATTTCCTTCATGCAAATTTGACCAGAAATATGTAGTTGCTTATAAATAATAATATTTGAAGAAAGTGTTCCATAATATTGATACCTATAAATATATCTTCTTATCAGGTGCTACAGCCCTTTGTGACCTTTGGCCTCCTAGATCACAGCCTTCCAATATATCTCTGAGGCTGTCATCTAAGGTTTCATAACAATTTATGTTTTTAACAGGGATGATGTAAGCCTCATGCCCCAACCCCCAACCTGGAGGACCAGGGTATTTCTCTTGGTTTTGCCTGTCACCTTTGACCTGTCCAACATGGAAGGCCCTGCTGGTAACATATGTTACCACTGGCATGGCTCTCACGTTCATTTAGGCATGCAAGCCCCACCACTGCAACAAAATAGAGATACCAGGGGGGATATAAATATATCATGTTTATTAAAATTTATGTAATTGCAGACTAGTTAAAAATTCTATGCATATTGAAACTTTATGCTATGATCTTGCCTGAAGTGAACCTAGAGCAGCATAAATTTGATAAGTATGTTTACATAATCAGTTAAAGTGTTCTGAATCACCAAACCGAGCAGCTGAATGAATACATGCATGTAGCGGCGTGCGTGTGTGTGTGTGTGTGTGTGTGTGCGCGCGCGCGTGTGTGAGAGAGAGAGCGTGTGGATGCACATGAGCATGTACATGTATGTGCATGTGGCATATTACTACGAATTTGATATAAATATATGTGTTACAGTACAGTAGAATTGACACTGGATGAATAGAATGCATTAACTTTATCATTACGGATAAAGTAGTCTATTGCGCATTAATAAATTACTATGTCAGCTGTTTTTAATAAAATTTGTAAGTGGATATGATAACATACAGCTCAGTAGTTTGCAGAAGGGATGGCTAATGCAATATAGTATATCTGTACAACTGTCATTCTATTCATAAACTTGTAAGTGTTACCAAAAAATGAAAGGAAATTATTTCACTACTACATAAAAATAACTTATTTAAATACCTATAATTAGGATTGTAGTTGCTATCTTGTATGTACAAATCCAAAATATACAGTTTAACCAAAAATTCTAGTTGTGATCTATAACTGCATGTTTAAAATTAACATTTATTTCTAATTAGTGATATTGCTTGTTGATAGAAAGAGATGTTAAAGCAAGTGTCTTTGATTTTCATAAACATGACATTTGGTTAGCTGAGTATTACATAATATTGCGCATTCCTTTGAAAATATACAGATCTGAAATGAGTTTTTATAAAGACGTAATGAAATGTTAATGAAATTGTTGTAGAATTTATTATAGTATTTTGTTACAAGTTGCAAATGAGAAATAAAATAATTCTGAATCTGATGTATTTTTTTTTTATTATTGCAATAAATGTAAATGACAATTCGGGAAGAATAAATTCAGTTCTGAGGTATATGAAAAGTATCTCTCTTATTAATATAAAATTAAGTAAAACATTTATTTTAATGAGAACTCAAAGAACTGATACTTATAAATAACATATTTTACTTTTTCTCACACTGTTTTAATTAACAGCATTAGTATCCATTTAATTTCATATGAGCTTCATATTCATAAAATTAACAGCCAAATATTTAATGTTTTTATTCTAAAGTAATTATTAACTAGTAAAATGAAAATGCAATTGGCAGGAATGGCACAGTCTCTTAAAGAATCCAGAACAAATTAACGTTCTAACTAATTGAAAAATGTAGATGTCTTCAGTCTATATATGTATATATAAAGCCCTTGGGTATATTTCCATTCAAGATTCACCTGTTTCAGGGTTGCTAAGCAACAGTAGTAATGTGTAGGCTCACGAAATAATGAAATTACCCAAATACAATCTCTCTTCATCAGTCCTGTGGACCAGGATATTTTTCTTCTATTTCTTAACTATACTATAAAATCATGTACCTGTATTGTTTCGCTTAGTTGGGGGTGGAGTCCAACAGGGTCCACTCGGCACGGCGGCCACTGATTGGCCTATTGTACCTGCTCTGGGTGATTATGATGCTGGAGAATTTGGTGGAATGAAGATTGGCCGGGGAAACCGAAATACTCGGAGAAAACCCGCCCCTGTGCCAATTTATCCACCACAAATCCCACTTGACCAAACACGGGATCGAACCCGGGCCGCCGCGGTGGGAAGCCAGCGACTAACCGCTTGAACTATGGCGCGGCCCTACCTCTCAACCAATAAATAACTATACAGTGTCTCCGTGACCGATCGCTCGCATCCACACAAAGTGATCCTACCGTGTATGAACACGCACAATGTCAATCGCTAGGGATCGCGTGACATTGCGTCTATTGCAACGCGAGCTGTGTGAGGGGACACTAAGTGTATCTAACAGTTCTTTTTTCACTTGTATATAATGCAAATTGTTCGTTCAGTACACGTCTAAACTTACTGTTCCCAACTTGATTTGCCATGCACAGTGAACGCACCCAAAACAGAGTTGTGTCGCCGAAGGTTCTGTGTTCTTCGCTTGCTAAAAAGGGAAACGACGTAGTGGTAACTGACATGGCGGTAGAAAGGGACTGTTAGGTTATAGGGAGATGTGATTAATTACCAACGTTTAAAGTGATGTAAAGGTTTTGACTCTGATTTTGTTGTTTTATTCGCAGTTTACGAGCAATTGTGTGTGTAGTGGAGGATCACAATCCACAGTGTCAAACAGCGGGACTAAAATTTTTTAATCTCTTCCCGTTAAGAAAGTTCCTTACCTTTACTTAATGAACCCATGTAAATATCGAACACGATATGGTGTGTTTGTGAAGTGTTGTATTTTTTTTTTTACATAACCTGAAGAAACTCGAATCTCATTTTCACTTTGTAAATTATAAGAGTGCGTGAATGATATGTCTTGATACAGGAACGGCAGAAGAAGTGTTTTAGTTATTCTCAGACATCGAATTCAGGATATATGGTGAGTATTAGCAATTTCATTGCTGCATGTTTGTATCCTGCATAGTACTTGTACCACATTCGTTTACGATCGGATTTCTGGCAGAACCAGAATTATATTTTTTTTGTTAATGAAGTACTTCTTGTCGGAAGGAAAATTAGGATGTGCAATAAATATGTTGTATGTGAGATTATTACAATGGTGATTATGAAGATTTAGAATATCCCGGAATGTACCGTCGTTTAGTTCGAAAGAAGCCCTACTTCCGAGGGAAAATACTCCATTGATCTTCAATATCGAAGGATAAGGGACGCCAAAAGCCAGCAAGAAGCAGACATTCTGCTTACGATCTGCTTCTTGCTGTTTTCTTTCTTAGCTTCCTTATTCTTTGACGATGTGGACGGTGGACGGTGGAGAAATTCCCTACTGAAATGTTGACCTTTCGCTGAGCTACATGGCTTTACATCCCAGGAGACCATAGTTATGTGGAAGTACATTTACGTGTACGTGTACGTGTACGTGTGGAAACTTGCTTAAGTACAAGTTTATGATCTCGAAACTCAAGGCATTTAAGGATGTTTTGCTCATATTATTAGATTATACGTACCAATTTATTTTAATCGTTGCCGAAACTTATATTAATTGGAATTAGTAGATGTACTCATTCGTATCTCTTATTGGGAATTATAAGTTTTCGTATATGGACGCAGCGTAAACACCGTGTCGAGTAATGTCAGGTTGTAATCGTATGTCAGAGACAACTGCGTAATATTTTGTTAGAGCTCCAGTCGTGAATTCTTGTAGATCAATGATTCTGAACCTCTATTTCTTACATCGCAAAAGTCATTTTACCAAAAACATAGTCCCTTCCAACAAATGTGTTTTTACAGTTACACACATTTTAGTAGCATGGTAATGATTAATGGAAATAACTGAAAATTATAAGAATTTTTGAACAATTTATTGCTATAATTTTATAAAATAATATGATTCTGTCAGTAGAAACACGATTATACTGCAGCAATAATGAGAAACCTGTGTTTACAACGTAATAACATTTACTTTTTGTCACCGGATTTTGTGTGTGGAAGGGAATTATCATTTTTAAGACCTCACGCCTCACCCTGACGACCAAACCCTACCGCTTGAGAATCATTTTTCTTGGTTCTTTTGGCCGAGTTTTAAAATAGCGGCACCAAAATTTGTGTTCTTATAATTCGTTGTGATAGACGAACTCATGGAGCTCAATACTTGTAATGTTCGACAGAGTCGTTAAAATATTTCTGTGTTGGAATATTCATAACCTTATTTTTAATAACTTTTTTTTATTTGTAGTTCTAGAAGGAATATTAAATCAGCAACAAATATTTTCATGGACTTTGACAGGGGGACGTAATATGAATTAGACGACAACAGATACGTTCTATAGTCGATCCCTGCACTCTGATAGTGCACTCTGAGAGAATATTTTATATTTAATAATGACTTGTAATATATACAGCCATTGCATACCCCTCACAGCTGGTTTCGTGACCGAATTCCCGACTTGAAATTTCTGATTGCTGGCTCAAATCTCAATCATTGTCATATATCTTATTTTTGACATCTAGACAGATTATAGAAGAGTGGAAAACGTTTCTGATTTTTCTTTCTCGTTTTATCATCGATATAATGTATCATCAATTCTTATCCTCACCAGGCAATGAAGACAGACTGCGGCCACCTCATTAACATTTTAGGATGTATTTTATTTATTTATATTTATAAATTCAGCCCCTACCTCAGAGGAAACAACATTTAATCATTTAAAACGTGATTGAATCTTGCTAGGAAAATTAACACTGATACAGAGCTTTCTGTGTTAAAGCAGATGGCTGTACCTAAATTATATCTGTACAAATATATGAAAGAATTTCATGTTCAAGAACAAGAAAGAAATACAGGCTGTTTAGCTCCAGGAAGTTAAGGCAACTGAGTATTTAAGCTTCTAGCTCTGTCTTGAATTTGTCTGTTAAATCGTTTCCATAGATATCGTTACAAGCGCGTTCATTATGCTCTGTAGACATTACGGGTAGATCCGAATCTGCATGCTGCTATTTGAAGGCCTGGGAGAAAATTTCCACAACTAAATTTTTAAATAATTGTAATTCATTTTCCTTGACTTACCATAAAAATTAATCGCGACACCGCACTCAGAGTAGTAAGAGTGTGCCCCATTCGACTGTCTCAACCAACTGAACCTCGAGTGTGCCCCATTCGACTGTCTCAACCAACTGAACCTCGAGTGTGCCCCATTCGACTGTTTCAACAAACTGAACCTAGAGTGGGCCTCATTCGACTGTCTCAACCAACTGAACCTAGAGTGTGTCCCATTCGACTGTTTCAATCAACTGAACCCAGCGTCTGCCCCATTTGACACTCTCAACCTCCTGAACCTAGAGTGTGCCCCATTCGACTGTCTCAACCAACTGAACCTAAGTGTGCCCCATTCGAGTGTCTCAACAAACTGAGTCTAGAGTGTGCCCATTTGACTGTCTCAACCAACTGAGTCTAGAGTGTGCCCATTTGACTGTCTCAACCAACTGAACCGAGAGTGAGCCCCATTCGACTGTCTCCACCAACTGAACCTAAAGTGGAGTCCATTCAACTGTCTCAACCAACTGAACCTAGAGTGTGCCCCATTCGATTGTCTCAACCAACTGAACCTAGAGTGTGCCCCATTCGACTGTCTCAACAAACTGAACCTAGAGCGTGCCCCATTCGACTGTCTCAACCAACTGAACCTAGAGTGTGCCCCATTCGACTGTCTCCACCAACTGAGAGTGTGCCCCATTCGCCTGTCTCCACCAACTAAACCTAGAGTGTGCACAATTCGACTGTCTTCACCAACTGAACCTAAAGTGGACTCCATTCGACTGTCTCAATCAACTGAACCTAGAGTGTGCCCCATTCGACTGTCTCAACAAACTGAACCTAGAGTGGGCCTCATTCGACTGTCTCCAGCGGATGTACCCAGAGTGTGCCCCATTCGACTGTCTCAAGGAACTGAACATAATGTGCCCCATTCGACTGTCTCAACTGAACCTAGAGTTGCGCCATTCGACTGTCTCAACA